AAAAAAAAAGAGGAATTTAAGAAGCGTTTACGCTAAACATCATTGGTATCGCTTGTTCCATAATTTTAAGAGCAAGCTGAGCTAGCAACAACCATAATTTGCAAGTTAACAAGGTGGTCGCGAGTAACACTAGACATATGCATTAGCAGCACGGTAAAAAAATCTACGGAAAGAGCCGGGCCCATTGGTTGTTCATAAATATAATTCCTGGATTAGATAGGGTAACCTGTTGAAAAAAGCTGTTGGCATAAATAATTTATAGATCAAAAGTTCTATAGTATTTTTATAATTTAATTTTGAAAACTACTAGTTCAGTAAGTGTAATCTTCTAGCACCCAGTTTATTTCTTACTGGAAAGAACCAGTCTTGAAAAAACCTTGGAAGAAATGGAACTTTTAGAAGAGTTTCAGAAAGTTTTGATAGCGTACATCGCACGTAACCACTGTCCTGCTAAAGCTGAATATTTGAGACAAGAGAAATATCAGTCTTTAGTTTTTGTACCCTAATCCATTGTGTTGCCTTCGTTTTGGAGCTGAAGTTGTCTGCTATGAGATTGAAAACTGAAAGCATTTAAAACATAAATTTGTAATATAAGATTTGTCTTGTATATTTTGAAAATGTTTGACAGATTCTGCAGCAGAGAAAAACGTTTTTTTTTCTATATTTATGATTGTCGTATTTGGGATAATGTCTTTTGGACCAAAAATTAAGATTACTCAATTAGATATAGCTGCATTGAAGAGCACAGGCCAAAAATTATAGAGTTATTGTAACTGTGCAAAAATCGTTCAGTGATAAAACCTTTGACTGGCAACGAAACGGTACATCTGTGAAGACCATTCAAAGCCATTTGGAATTAACAAGCAGAATTTTAGCACCTTATGCCCAAAATGTACCTCGTCACGAATGATGGACAGTTATAGTTGGAACAAAGTACATGTGAATGTATTTGTAAAGAAAATCTAACAGTTCTGTCTAGCTTCCAAAATTTTTTGCTAAATTATTGTCAGTTGCCGTGACTGTCGATTCCCAGCGTACAGTTTGCTGAATTATTTCCTGCAGCCGTTACCAATTTGTTGACGGTAACAGCTTTTTTGACGACTGCTACAGAGAATTTCATTCTTCCCTTTTTTTCCGCTTTTGATTTGCTTTGCTTACGTAATACTGTTGGTTTATACTTGATTTATTATTAAAATGTCATTAAAAATTCTTTGGTTTTTTTCCTCTTTTTAGTTCTTAGTCTTTGATGATAAAAATCCAATTTTCTAGCAACAATTTTCCTTACTTAATCGCTTGCAGTATTCATAAACGTTGTAGGGATGGGAAGGGCAAAAAAAAAAATAATAAATAAATGAAAAAAATTTTTAAAAAGCAGAAAAAAAAGTTGTATCAGTTACACGAAGCTGGGAGATTCTCATTACTAACAGGCAAATCAACTTCTAGGAACTTAACCATGAAAAGGAGGAAGGAGGAGGCGGAATAAGAAGAAAGACTGCAATGAACGAAAATAATCGATAAACATCAGATTATTAAATTTTTTTGGTAACTTTCAACACAGTATAAATGTATTCAGACATATTCTTCTCAGCTTCCTTTCTTCTGTGGTCGCTGAGAGGATTTTTTTATCTTTTTGCTTATGATTTTTCATTTCTCATTTAGTTGAACAAGTGCAATTTTCTCTGTTTAATGTCTTGGTGTTTTGGTAGTTTATCAACAGAACTGATTTCACCAATGACAATATCGGTTTAGTTGTTTTCAGCGGGTAAGAAGAGAAGAAACACAGAAAAACAGTTGAATTTCTTTTAATACAAATATGACATTCTGAGGTCATTTCAGTAAAATCTTTTTTGGTAGTTTACATTCTTTTTTTTCTTCTTTTTCTTCCTCTTCCCCTTCTTTCCCTTCTCCTCCTTCTTTTTTTTTCTCCCCTTCCTCGTCGATGT